TTTTAAGATTTTATTTATTTATTTGACACAGAGAGAGATCACAAGTAGGCAGAGAGGCAGACAGGCAGACGGGAGAGCGGGGGGAGAGGAAGGGAAGCAGGTTCCCTGCTGAGCAGAAAGCCCGATGCGATCCCAGGACCCACCCGGGGATCATGACCTGAGCTGAAGGAAGAGGCTTTAACCCACTGAGCCACCCAGGCGCCCCAACTTCTGAATATTTTAATCTTTTTCTCTCACTGAACTTTTCAGCATCTTTCCATTCTATATTAGGAAAGTTGGGTTGACCATTTAGTTCATGGGTGTGACCTTGGTGATTTCCTTGAAATAGGGTTGAAGGATTTAAAGTTACAGGTTTGGATTGTGCTGTGGCTTTCTATGTGCAGTTCTCTCCACTTGTTGGATTAAGACAAAAAAAGGGTATGTGTGACCTTCAGAAGGAACATTTATAGAAAAACTAAGTTTCCTGACCAGATCTTGGAGATAATTTTGCTGCTTAAAGGGTACAAACGAATTGGCCAGAGACCAGCAGTTCGTTTGGGTTAAATATTTTAATGATCATTTATTTGGACACTTAAGTAACTCAGAGGGAGAATGTAGATTTGTAGGAATGCAGCAAATGACTTGATTATAAATGGAATTTTTATGTGTTTTTGTCAGTTTTTGAGGCCTTTGAATTCCTATGGCTCTATAATAGGGTAATAAATATGCCATATCAAAAAGATGTGAGATGACCTGTTCAGCTAAGTAGAGCCTGTGCAGTCTCTGAAGGTTAACAGCGTGAGTACATGTGGACGCAAGTCACAGCAGTTGTCAGCAAGGTGGCACTGACTTCTCATTTGTTGTGCTCCAGCACAAAGTATGTGTTTTTCATTAAGCATTGTATAATGTATAATATTTGCTAATTTCAGAATCTAGAGGTGGTGCAGAATTCACAGGAGCTTTTACTCAAAAACAAGTATCTGCCTAAAAAAACAAAACAAAACCCACCACCACCAGGAGACATGGCCTAGAGAGCATTAGACTTCTGTTTCAGGTACTGATAACAATATGGTTCCTACCTTTTTTTCAAAGATTATGTGGTTGTCAATTTTTCTTTAAAAAGTCTCTATTGAAGTGATCACAATATCAAGTAAGCCCTCGTATTCTTTCAGAATATGAGGTTATACTGGATATTGCCTCTGGTGCCTGGAGCTTATGGCTGAAGGTTAAGTGCTCTCATTTACCTGAGTAAAGGTTTAAGAGCATTTTTTTTAAACATTGAAAAACATTCCTGCCAGCTGCCTTTCAGTTAGCCTAGTGTGTTTCCGCACGCTGACTTTTCTGCACACTAAACGCATTTAGATTGTAGGGGTTGGATTATGATCTCGCCCTCCTCCCTCCTCCAGTTCTTCCGCAAAGACAACTTCCCTGCCAGCCGCGTCTTGCTGTGCGGTTGGCTTCTGTGTGCTCCCCCTGGAGACGCCGAGGGCTCAGGGACGGCTGTGTGGGTGCTCACTTGACTCGCCTGGCATGGTTGTTATTAACAGTAATTAGATTAGAATGTCTATTTTTTGGTAAGTTTTGTTAGTATTAAAGTCTTTGTTATTGCAATCACTCTAAAAGATTTTAGATTTGGTTAGCAGATTGGTTTTAAGTGATGTAGATAATTGGTTTATAGGTTAAGGAAGTGTTTAGTCTGCATTCAGTTTCTAAGTTAAGAGTTGAAGGCATTTGCTCTCAGAGATTGCCCCAGCTTGTCCTGCGTTTTCTGTTCTGGTGGGTCAGTAAGGAGAGCAGTTTTAAATCCGAATGATACGGTGTTGCTTGTGCAGGTCAACTTCGCGGTGTGATTAAATACGATTATTTTTTATTATACCCTTGAAACTGCAGAGAATGGTGTATTAGATGGCACCAATAGAGGGAGAGCCAGGTGGTAGAAGGTCTGATGAACCCTCGAGTTAATTTTAATATCAGCAGAGTTATGGTTGGTGACTGTGGCCAGAGATGGGCAATATTGACTCTACCCCTGTGCTGACCACGTACTGTTTGTTCATTTAGTCACTAGGGTTTCTTGAGGGCCTGACCCCGTGCCAGAGACCCCTTCTAGGCGGGAGGGGATAGCAGCGAACATGGTCGACAGGGTCTCTCCTCCTGGGCTCTTACTCCAAAGGAATGGCCCAGGGTTTTCCCTTACTGAGTGAGCAGTAAGGATGGCTATGACCCAACGCAGTCTAGTGCCCAGGACAGTTGTGTGCACAGTTAATGACCATCAGAATCTGTGCCAGAAGCTTCCCTTGAGGGAGAAGTGCTTCAGTGTTGCCTGGCGCAGGGCCTCCTTCCCCTCATCTCTGGGCCTTCACCCATTCTTCACCCACAAAATGAAGGGCAAACTGAAGCTCTTCTTTCTTTGATTTTTTTTTTTTTCCCCACTGTGCCTCCTTTACTAATCTTTCAGGTCTTGTGTTAGAAGCTGATGATGACTTCCTTTTTACTCAGATATTTGAGCATTTCAGAGATAAAAATTGAAACTGAACTGTTTCTCGAAGTCAGGCATTTCCAGTTACATGCTATTACCCTGGGTGGGAAATAAATAATAGGGATATACCCACATCATGTTTCTCATTCAGAGACTGAGTTTAGGATCGGTGTCTTTTTGGGAAAGATCAGCTGTAGAAAACTGGAGTTCCCCCAAATTTAAAATATCACAGAGTAGTAGAACTTCTTAAAAAAAAGAAAAAGATTATATTGAAGACTGACATGGAGGACTGACTTTGATTTTGGCAAATTAGGGTAGTAAAAAAAACCAAAAAACAAAGACTTTACTGCTCCCTATTGCCATTGTGTCATTTTTTAAAGAGCTATTTTGCAACCAAAAAATAGAAAGCGCCTCAAATGGAGGACAGCCTTTATTCAAATTGAAATTTATATGTGTACTTGGTGGAGAACTTGTTGAGCTGTTTGTTTTTCATATAGCTGTCAGCCGGTGAAAACAATGTTGTCTGAATTTGAGAGCTGGCTTTTCTAGACTATGTAATACCTAGAATATGTTAATTTCTTCAGGTAGAGTATAACCTGGTGTGCTGGCAATCAGTAAATATTTGTATAATGAATAAATGACTGCATAGAATCCTAAATTAGGTCTGTCCATAATGTAGACCTACCCCCCAGAACCATAGAGATTTGGAACTCTCGAGGATGATCTTGTCATTTAATCACCTCCATCAAGTAGATCAAGATGGGGTATGTGGTGGTGACAGCTTGAAGGCTGTGGCTTAGCCAGAACTAGAACTCAGGTCTCTGGAGTGTTCTGTTATTTCCCACCAAGCTGGTAGCCAGCCCCAGTGTTTTATCCTCCATTGTGATTACAACAAAAGACCCAGAAGTTAAGATAAAACACTTCAGTATGTTCTTTCTTTGCACTAATCTTTGATCTGCAGTCTTATTTAGAGAAGCTTAATGTTAAAGATCGGGTTTATTCAAAACTAAAGATAGCAAGGGGCATGAGAATTTTCTTGTATTAGGAGTGTAAAGAAGGGGAAGAAATGTTTCCTTGTCTTCTCTGAGCCTAGAGGCCCTTGCTCTTTGAGGAAGTGGAGAGAAGAAAGTAAAGCTGAAGGTGGTGGGAGCAGTTTGCAAGTCTTTTTGTTTTGCTGGGGAGAATTAACAGACCTCAGTTAAAGTAGTTGAGAAACTATTTAAAAACCAATTCTGTGCTTGCCAGAAAGGTGTAGGGGGTGGGGTGGTATTGGGTTTTTGGAGGTTAATTCTTCAAGAATGAAAATTAGCTTCTAAATCTGAGCCTGCCAAACTAAATAGAGTCCTAGTCCATTTTTCAGCTGGCCAGTGCGGACTGTGAAAGGTGGGTTAAAAAAATGGGAGGACCCGTTTTCTGACTGAAGACTGAGCCACGTCGAGCTGGTGGTGTGGAGGATTTTATGTAAAGTGTATATTCACAAAGTAGCTTTGTGTATGTATTTTCTTTATTTATTGTGTGGACAGGGAAGCCCAACCCTGAGGTTTGTTGAAGGCAGAAAGTTGTTACAAGCAAACTGGGTATTTGGGCTGCCGGTTGGTTGAGGGTTAGAATATCCTGTGAGCCAAAATGTGGAAGGTTTCTCTAGGTCAAGATGAGCATCATCCAGAGGTGTTCTGTAGTAGTTGAACATGGATTTTAGGGAAGGTTCCTGTGGTGTGTGTGTGTGTGTGTGTGTGTGTGTGTATGTGGTTGGCAGGCGCATGGGTAAGCTTCAAAGGTGCATTTAGGCATTTGTGTTTCTTGACTGTATGTAAGACAATTGGAAGTTCTGGCTTTTATTTCAAGTTTACTTGAAGTTTTACTCCAAGTGCTGTAATTGTCATTTTTCCGCAGTCGGTGTCTGTTTATAAGGATACACATGTGCCTGGTAGTGTTGGCATTTACTATGTATTCTGTTGAATTTAACAGTTTCTGCTCTGAATCTTTACATTATAGATTGGAATCTTCCAAGGACCACGTGTTAAGTTACTTAACTGGATGAAAATTAGCGATTTGCTAAGTGTACTGATTGGATAAAATGCTAATGATTTAATTAACTAGCGTGTTGGACACGCACTGTGTTGGTTAACAGAGCTGCAGATGACCTGGGCGCCTTCTCTGCTATGAGCAGACCAGCTGTGACTCGTCCACACCAGGCTTCTCTTTTTCCCCTGGCTGCAGCTAACCATTTCTGTGTTTTTTTTTTCCCCCTCTAGGTTTTGGAAATCCCTTGTCTCCAGGTTGCTGGGACTGACTTCTTGCTCAATTGAATCCCTCACTCAGTGGAGACAAAGAGAATTAATGCTTTGTGCTGACTCATATTTGAATCAAAGCGTTGGGGAGTCTGTCTGCCTTGTGTGTGGAAAGAACCAGTGAGAGGCTCTGTCACCGAGCTTCCTATGACTTCTGAAGATAAGAAGCTACAGGAATATATACTTTCGTTTGAACTTTTATAAAAATATTTGTTCTAGTGCTAAGTGCAGGGCTGCTGGGGGTGTGAGTGACAAGTCTTACAAGTGGCCTTATCCCAATTCCAGAAATTCCTCCACCGGATTCTAATTTTATATACAATCCTAAAGTGCCAGGAAACATGCCAACTCAGTCCCTGTTGGTGTATATGGATGGACCGGAAGTGATCGGCAGTCCCCTTGGCACCCAGACGGAGCTGGACGATGCCGTGTCGATAAAAGGGACCAGCACCGTTCCTTTCAGAGCGACACAGGAGAAAAACATAATCCAAATAGAAGGATATATGCCCTTGGACTGCATGTTTTGCAATCAGACCTTCACACACTCAGAAGACCTTAACAAACACGTCTTAATGCAACATCGGCCGATCCTCTGTGAGCCCGCGGTCCTGCGCGTGGAAGCGGAGTATCTTAGTCCCCTCGATAAAAGTCAAGTGAGAGCAGAGCCTCCCAAGGACAAGAATTGTAAAGAAAATGAAGAATTTAGCTGTGAAGTGTGCGGGCAGACCTTCCGAGTGGCTTTCGACGTGGAGATCCACATGAAGAAACACAAGGACTCCTTCACGTACGGGTGCAGCGTGTGCGGGAGGAGATTCAAGGAGCCCTGGTTCCTGAAGAACCACATGCGGACGCACACCGGCAAGTCGGGCGCCAAGAGCCGCCTGCAGCAGGGCGCCGAGAGCCCCGCCACCATCAACGAGGTGGTGCAGGAGCCCGCGGCCGAGAGCCTCGCCTCTCCTTACAAAATCTGCATGGTCTGTGGCTTCCTCTTTCCGAATAAGGAGAGCCTCCTCGAGCACAGGAAAATGCACACCAAAGAGCCGGCTTCCGGGGCCACCGGGCCCCGCACGGACGCCCCGCCGGGGGGCACGGCACCCCCGGGGGACGAGCTCCTGCAGTTCCTGAGGCTGAGGCCCGCCTCGCACCCCGAGAGCGGCCGCAGGCCCCCGAAATGGATCCCTCAGCTCGACCCGTTCACCACCTACCAGGCCTGGCAGCTGGCGACCAAAGGGAAGGTGGCCGTGTGCCGCGAGGTGAAGGAGCAGCCGGGCCAGGACGGCAGCACCGACAACGACGACTCGTGCTCGGAGAAGGAGGAGCTGCTGGAGATCTGGGGCGCCGGCAAGAGCCACGCCGAGGGCTCGGGGAGGGCCCGGGCGGGCCGGAGCGGCTGCGCGGGCCTCGCGCAGGACAAGGAGAAGCCCAGAGCCGGCGGCGGCGAAGTGCCTTCGGCGGAGGCCGACCCGAAGCTGTCGGGCAGCAAGGAGAAGCCGACGCACTGCGCCGAGTGCGGCAAAGCCTTCCGGACCTACCACCAGCTGGTGCTGCACTCGCGCGTGCACAAGAAGGAGCGCAGGGCGGACGCCGAGTCGCCCACCATGGCCGCCGACGGACGGCAGCCCAGGACGTGCTCCCCCGACCTGCCCGCCGCCCTGGACGAGAACGGAGCCGGCGAGCGGGAGGGCGGCTCTGAGGACGGCTCCGAGGACGGCCTTCCGGAGGGGCTCCATCTGGGTAAGCCCCTGTCCCGCGCCCCCACCCCCGTCCCAGACATCGCGGGCCGGGCCGGGGGGACGCCCAGGCCCCTGGGGTGCCCGCCGGTCGCGAGCCCCGGCAGCTCTCAGGGCCGTGATTCTTCCCTGGGTTGCTTCCCGCTCTGAACCTGCTGTTGCTTTATCTTTGGTCCCGGAGGCCACGCCAGCCTCCCAGCGTGCTCCCTCGTGCATCGGTCCGGGCAGTGGTTCCGACCTGGGGCGGTTTTGCCCCCAGTGGAATCTGGCAGCGTCTAGAGAGTTTTGGGTGTCCCGGTCGTGTTAGTGTGTGCGCGGCTGACCCCCGGGGGCGGGCGGTAACCAGGGATGGCGAACCTCCGACCGCGGCGGGGCGGCCCCCCAGCCCGCGAGTGTGCGTCCGGGGAGAGATGCTGGGCTGGGCTTCGGGGTTTGGCCTTACATGCGACGCGCAGACCCGCGTCCCTGTGCTCTGAGACCCAGCTGTCGTGCGCTTCCTCCGCACGGTGCTCTCGTGGCCACAGAAGGTACCGGGAATGGTTCTCAGCCAGAGCAAGGGTATCTTTAGAGAAACGGATGCTACCTGGTACCCTGTCCTCTCTGTCTGCTGGGCTAGTGTTTGGTAATAGCTCAGGAACTAAGAGCATTTGCGTGTAAAATGAAAGGACTGAACACAGCAAAGATGGTTTAAAGGCATCTCAAGTGCTCAGTCAGATTTGTCTTGTATGAATGGCTTTTAGAGGACATAATGGCTGGAGGCTCAGGAACTTTCTTTTTTTTTTTTTTTAAGGTTTTATTTGTTTATTTGACAGAGACAGTGAGAGAGGGAACACAAGCAGGGGGAGTGGGAGAGGGAGAAGTAGGCTGCCTGCTGAGTAGGGAGCCCGATGTGGGGCTCCATCCCAGGACCCTGGGATCATGACTTGAGCTGAAGGCAGATACTTAAGGATTGAGCCACTCAGGTGCCCTGGGACCTCTCATCTCTTGAGGCCGGGGGACTTATCCAAGGCAGAGGATTCCCCCCACCGTGTTTTAGGTCTTGCCCATCTGCACTCGAACCAGAGATGCTTCTATCTGTTAAATAATATTTTGTTTGAATAAAGGGCTTGGCTCCTTGAAGGCAGTTAGAAGAGCCCCTGTGTCGATTGAGGCCACCCAACTGAATGGTGGGAACGTGACTCAGTCTAAGAGGGATGTTATCATTCACAAAAGTGTTCTTTGGTTGAAGTAGACACTGCTGCCTTTTTTGACTGTAGCTTGATGGTATGTGGCTGGCTTGTGCGAACTCAGGTGTGAGACTCAAGGTGAATTTGACCACATCGTACCCTGGACTCTTCATGCTCCAAACAGTGTCAGGTCCTTTTTGCCATCACACGAAGGATGATGTTCCTGATGAGGATTTAGGATGTCTTGAGTTTCAGGGAACACAGGAAACCTTAGCACTTAGGATACTACAGTCTTCAGAAATCTAGAAAACCCCATTATGGTGTCTTCATGACATCATAAAACAAAGGCCTTGAACACAGGCCTGTCGTCTTCACCGTGGTTCCTAGTAGTGTCATTCCTGTTCAGGGACATGTGGTAATGGGGAGATGGTTGGGTCTATGAGCTGCCCCGTTGCCCTGAAAGAAACGAGATGGCCGGTCTCCTTCTGCCAGTAGGTGATGTGGGCAGAAGAATCAGGTGGCAGTCTTGGTCGTCAGGCGGGTAGAATGCCCGTAGCTGGGAGCGCCACGACTTGCCCTTAGTCTGGTTCTGCCACTGCATTGTTCTGTGGCTGATTACATGTTGCTTAACCTTTCTTTGCCCTGATTTCTTCTCTCTGTTGGCAAAATTGGTTCATCGACCCTCTGTATTCCACCTCCCAACGATAATTTCAACAGCCTCTTGATAAAAAGTTTGCAGTCCTTGTAAGAACTATAAAATCAGAGGCAATGCCCAAGGAGCAGGGACCAGGTATATGTGGACATTTCACGTCCTTTATGTTCAAACAGATGCATTTCATAACTTTTTGGATATGATGCAACATACCATAAATCCTGACACATACTTGGGAGTAGGAAATTGCAGTAAGGTTCAAATTCAGCTTGTTGGGTGTGATTGTAAGACAAAGCTGGGCCTTCTGTATTTAGAGAATTGATTTTCCTAAGTTTATATTACGATGTGGTGGTCTAGATTTATCTTCCTGTTACTGACAACCTGGCTTTCTTGAGATTGACTTTTAGGATCAAAAGAATTTTTTTTTATGTTTGTTCAACTTCATAGTAGGTTTAATAGTGGTTGTTCATGTGATTGTTTTTTAAATCTTCGCCATCAGTGGTTGTCTCTGCCTGTTTACGGTATTTGTCGGGGCGGGGGGGGGGGGGCAGTTGAGTGAGGGGATCTTGCAGTCCTGTCTGTTGTATTGGAGGCTGCCCATGGTTAGCTCCTAAGCTGCTTTTTAAAATCTGGAAACTAGATCTACATAATCTAAAATGCAAAATGGGGAAGGAGCAGGGAAAAGAGGCCTTTTTAGTTGGAATTAACAGTTTTCAAGGCAAAGGAGCCAGTTTGGTTTTGCTCAATTTTAAGAGATGACTCCACTTCCTGGTCCTTATTGAGGTGCACGTAATAGTGTTCGGTAAGAGGAGGTTTATCTAGAACTTTAACAGTCATTTTTATGGGATTGGGTATCTTCGCTGTAGCAGATGTCATTGTCTTTTGGAGGCTGGTGGTGGGTGGCGGCGGGTGTAATCATCCTGTAATTAGTGTCCGCAGTGCGCCTTCACTGTTGCAGCCCAGACACACTGGCCGGGTTGTTGCAGAGCTTGAAGTATATGGTTTAGGCCTTTGTCATTTGGGCACAGATTTTGATTGATCTCACATCTATTTTTGGCCATGTGAGTACTTGTGAATGATACAATGTGCTTTCCAAAAACGTGCTAAATTTTGACAAACTTTCTTAGGCGTTTGACCCAGAGCCCAAACCTTTTATTTTCTTTAAAGATTAAGTTGTGCTTGCTACCCTCTAGTGGTAGCTGGCCCAGTCTTAAGACAGACTTCTTTTCCCTGGTGGTTGGGGAAATTGGCAATTTCAATTGGCTGAGTTTTCTAAATCAGTTATCCTGAAGCAGTGGGTTATCCCAGCCATTGTCTGTAGGTCCAGCTTTAGTCTGCCGGTTCCAGCTTGTTGCAGACATGCTGGGAGAACAGAAAGTTGCCCATGCATGTCAGTCTGTTATGATCTTTCCTGTGATTGAGGCAGAGGAAGGACTGAACCGGAGACACCAAATTCTGCCGTACTCAGAAAACAAAAACAAAACCTAGAAACAGGGCACACGTGTTATAAAAAGCTTCCAAAACTTCAGACAGTCTCAAGATAGCATGTGGTGTGTTCTGTCCTTTCTGGTGTACCCCAGCACTGATACAAAAATTATTTTATGCTTTCCAAAAATAGTTTCCATCAAGAATACTTGATGTCAGCTTGTCTTACTCGTGTACTTGAGCTGTCTTCTTACAGAAATATTTTTTGTTTCTGCTTTAAGATAAAAATGATGATGGAGGAAAAATAAAGCATCTTACATCCTCAAGAGAATGTAGTTATTGTGGGAAGTTTTTCCGTTCAAATTATTACCTCAATATTCATCTCAGAACGCATACAGGTAAGGAACTTCCTAGCTTTTCTTAATTCTTATTAGCTCAAAGAATTATGATGTAGCTTTGTGTCTTGGCTTCTTTTCATATTGTTCAAATATTCTGTTAGGCCTCTGCAATAGTTTAATAGTAAGCGTGTAGTGTGTTGATGGCAGCTTTCATTTTAAGTCTGTTAGTGTCCGTGTAACTTGAACTGTTCCTGTTTTGAAGTTAGTTTCTTACTTCGTTTCTGACTACTGTATCCTCTTATTAAAACCTCTTCAGTGTTTTTTAATGCCACAGCTGCTTCTGTATTAACTGTTATGATTTAGAAGGCAATGAGAATGTATTTAGTATTTTCTTGAGGTTTTAGAAGCGGCTGTAACATAGTTACGGTTTCGGAGGCTGGGCAGACTTGAACTGTGTCTCTTCCACTCACTGGCTGTGCAGCCCTGGGCAGGTCCGTAAACCTTCTGTGCCCGGTGTTCCTAGCTCTAAAAGGATAATGATGCCCTGTGCCATAGGGCCATGATGAAGGTTAAATAAGTTTAAAATGTGCTATGTTTAAAAAAGTCAAAGACCTGTATTGGCATTTTCAAGTATTCAGTATAGTAAGGGTGATTAAGCGAGCAACTTGAGAAAAATCCTGGATATGCAGATTTGTAGAGAGAGAAGGGAAAAGTTAAGACTCTATATTATAGTCTCTCCTGGCAGTTAATTTTAGTTTCCAAAGATTGATTTTGATGTTTTTCATGACCCCTTGTGTGACACAGCGGCATTTCTTGTTTTAGGTGAAAAACCATACAAATGTGAATTCTGTGACTATGCTGCAGCGCAGAAGACGTCTCTGCGGTATCACCTGGAGAGACATCACAAGGACAAGCAGATCGATATTGCCGCCGAAGTCAAGACCGATGGGAAAAACCAGGAGACGGAAGATGCACTACTAGCCGCTGACGGTGCGCAAACCAAAAATTTGAAAAGATTTTTTGATGGTGCCAAAGATGTTAAAGGCAGCCCACCTTCAAAGCAACTTAAGGGGATGGCCTCTACCTTTCAGAATGTTCTGGGCAGCGCTGTCCTCTCACCAGTACACCGAGATACTCAGGATTTCAATAAAAATGCAACTGATGACAGTACTGAGAAAATGGGCAAAGCGCCCGCCCCCGCGTACTTGGACGTGTTGCAGAAGAGGGCGTCAGGTGACCCTCAGCCCCCGGAGCCGGCGTGTAGGGCGGAGGCGGGGGTCCCTGCGTGCGTGGACGGCAGTGCGGCCCACGGTGCTGACGGCAGCGCCAGGGAGAAGCCGGCCGGGACGGTGGCCGACGGCAAGCACAAGCCCGGCGGGGACTGTCAGGAGAAACCTCTGAACCTGTCCCTCGGAGCGCTTCACGGCTGCCCGGCCATTTCTCTGAGCAAGAGTTTAATCCCAGGGATCACCTGCCCGTTTTGTACCTTCAAGACCTTTTATCCCGAGGTTTTGATGATGCACCAGAGGCTGGAGCATAAATACAATCCCGACATCCACAAAAACTGCCGGAGCAAGTCCCTGCTACGCAGCCGGCGCACGGGCTGTCCGCCCGCGCTGCTGGGGAAGGACGTGGCCCCGCTGGCGCACTTCCCCAAGCCCCGGGCCCGGCCCGCGCCCGCGCCGCCCGCCAAGGTCGCGCCCGCGGACCGCGACCGCGGGAAGCCGGGCCCCGCCAGGCCCCCGCCGCCCCCGGGGCTCGACCCCAGCACTTTAGCGCCCAGCAACCTGAAGGCTCCACGGCCGCAGCACCAGCACCCGCACCCGCAGCCCGGCGGGGCGCAGGGGGCGGCCCGGCAGGCCGAGCCCGCCCACCCGGAGAGGGGCAGGAGGCCCGAGGCCAAGCCCCGGGCGCCCGCCGCTGCCCCTGCCCCTGCCCCGCCCGGCCCCGGCGCCGCCAACGGCTGTGCAGAGCGCCCCTGGGCGCCACGGGGCCGCGACCCCCAGAGCGGACGCCCCGCCGAGCCCGGAGAGCCACTGCCCAAGCGGCCGCGACCCGATGCCGAGCCGCCGGCGCCCGCCTTCCGCCGGGCCTTCGAGCTGCCCAAGTACCACGTGGTGCGCGGCCTGCAGTCGCTGCTGCCCGGCGACTGCGTGTGTCCGCCGCCCGCCGCGCTGCCGCCCAAGCCCCGCGCCACGCCCGCGCCGCTCTTCGCCTGCGGGCCCGCCGCCGAAGGTGAGCCCTGGCCGGGAGGGATGGACCCACCCTGGGCCTGGAGACTGGCTTTCCCAGGTCCCCCGAGCCCCCGGCCTCACTGACCGTCCGGGGCCGGCGTCCCGGGCACGTCCGGTCTGGGGTGGTCCATTCTGGGGTCGGAGCTGGGGCGAGGTCTCTGCTCCCCACGCTGAAGTCCTTCGGAGCCGGACCTTGGCTTCTGGCCTTTCGCCGTGTATGTGGCCACCAGTGTCCGTGCTAGCAGGTGGCACGTCGCAGTGACCCTCTTCCCCGCCTCTTCCCAGGGAGCACGGGCCCCCCACCCACCAGGAACAGAAAGTGTAGGAACCCCAGTGAACAGTCTTTTGAACAGTTTGGATTCTAGATCTACCATCATCTAGATGATGATAGTAGATTCTAGATTCACGCTGCCTTATTTTTAGCCTTTGTTAAACATTAAGTGCATTTTAAGAGGGACACCCTATCCCCGAAATGGATAAATTGTTAAAGTAGATTTACTTTGGAGCTCTCCGCCTGGAAGTGTTCTCAGAGCCCCTGCTTCCTCCTGGCTGCACTCCCTCCAGGGTGTGTGGTGCAGACCTGGGCATATAAAGAGGTCAATCAGAGTGTCCCGGGGACCTTTCCCTCTTGGCAGACTTGATGAAACCACTTCCTTTGTCGGATGTAAGTCCTGCTGGTGTGTGCAGCTCCAAAGAGAAATCTGTTTGAAACCTCTCAGTTTCTATTAATTTCAAATTGAGGGTTCTGTGGGTGACAAAACTCTTATCAAGGATAGCTTGATGCCATTTGATCTGGTAGGGACAGCAAATTAAAAAACAATTGCTTTCACACATACCAGTGAATTTCATAAAAATTGTGATAGAATACTAATTTTTGCAGCCTTTTGATTAAAACTGTCTATTTTCCTTCTTACCAGCTCTTAAAATGTACAGGAGCCAAAACTTAGCCTTAACTTGAAGAGTCTGGGCTCTGTGTTGCAAGCAAAATTCTTCTTTATTTATTTAATTTATTTATTTTTTAGAGAATTTATTTTTAAGTATTCTTAATCTCAGACTCGCAGCCCCGAGGTTGAGAGTTGCACACTGCACGGACTGAGCCAGCCAGGCGCCCTGGAAAACCCTTTTTAAAAATCAGCATTTTTTCCTCCTTTTCCCCACAGTTTTGGTTTCTGATGCACATAAGTTTAAAATATTTTATGCTATCATTTTTTCTTTTTCTGTACCTAAACCCTAGGTCTTGACTTTTTAGTTCTTACTAATGACAGCGTAGGACTTAGACCTATTTTAGCTTTAGTGACTTGAAATTTTGTATTAGCAAATATCCTCTGGGCACTTAAAAATGTTTCAGTGGTAATTTGCACACAACTGGTGTATTCTGATCCCATTACCAGTCCAGAATTGTCAAAGTCGACTGACCTCTGACAATCCACAAACACCTTCTCAGTAATATTGAACTTTATTCTAAACACTTTTTCACATTTTTTTTTTCCAAACAGGAAAAAGGCCTGTGTCGTACCAACACTTGTCTAGCAGCATGCTACAAAAGAGAAACTATGAGAATTTTATTGGGAATGCACATTATCGACCAAATGACAAAAAAACTTGATTTCCTATTTTGGGTAAGAAAGGTGAGCATATATGGTGTGTTGATTTTTCTTAATTGAAAATAAGCCATCTAGTTTATCTTGTAGAATGTAAAAGTAAAATTACTTTTATTTATATACTTAACAAGATTTATTTATCTTAGAACAGGAGAGCACAGTGGGGAGGGGCAAAAGGGGAGGGGGAGAGAATCTCAGTGGAGCCCCGCCGTGGGGCTCGATCTCGGGACTCTGAGACGTAACTTGATCTGAAACCAAGAGTCAGGTTGCTTAATGGACTGTGTCACTCAGGGGCCCCTAATTGTAATTTTAAAGTGTTTTCAGACTTCGAGTGGCTCAGGGTCTGTGGATATCTATGATGATGATAGTAGCAATAATAACAGTAGCAACTGGGATTTACTGAGCATTTATTTGGTGCTCTGCCTTGAAGGCTTTTATAATCCTGACCTCACTCAGGCCTTCTCACAGCAGGGGACACCAGGCCAGGGATTAGCACCGGGTTCTGTCTAGGAGGCCTTACTGGTACACCGCTGCGTCTGTCCTTGTGCTGTTGGTGGCGGCTTCTCTGCCGCATTAGCAGAGCTGGGTAGTTGTGACAAGGAACTGAGGGCCTGCAAAGCTGAAAATAATTACGCTCTGGCCCTTTACAGAAGATGTTTGCTGACCGTTGGGCTAGGAGGCCCTGGGTGCGCCAAGGCTTGGAGGTGTAACTTGCGCGGTGCCTACTCTGTTTGGTTCTGTCCTGGGTCTGCTGGACCAGGGCCTGGGTCCCCCTGCCCCAGCTCTCCTGTTGAAGAGCTCGTTCAGAGCCTCTGTGCCGCCTTCTCCGTGGGGAGGGGAGTGGGCCAGGAGCAAGTAGTTGCGTTCTGACTTGCCGATTCCGTGGCAAATGTATGTAACTGTAGAGATACAGCAGCAGCGTCACAGTCATGCACACAGTAGTCTAGTCAGTTCCGAGTTCGGCCCAAGTTACACAAGACCTACTCGAGGCCTCCTTTACCTATATGTTGATTGAAAAGATTGGGGCTTATGGATAGATTTGAGTTCTCTCTCGCAGAAACCCTTGTCCTGTCACGTGACTGCCATCCAGCCTCCCAGGCCAGGGCAGGATTTCTCCCTCCTGTTTTCAGGGGGACGCTCGTGGGGCCCATCAGCCTCATGTGGGTTTACTCACTTCTTTCCCCTCAGACAGTGAAAGTAGAATGAGAGTCCAGTGTTGTCACAGGAAGGGGGGTGAGCCCGTTCTCCATTAAAACAAACGAATGATGTCTGGATTACAAGGGACAGATCCTTTGTGTCACCGATTTCCTGCACTTGATGGCACAGTCCATCGGCAACAGCACACTCGAGCCGTCCTGTTGGCCGGGTTTCCCTCGCTTGCGCATCCGGCTTCACTGCCTGCTAAGCTTGAGAGGAGACGCCTGTGTTTATTGCCTCGCCCCCTGCTGGGGACATCCCTGATAAAACTTGCTAGATGCTCGCAGAGCAGATGATGTTAGAAACTTTCGGTTTCTCGTCAGTGACCGTTGGCCTCTGCCAGACTCCGTGTAACTGCTAGGGATTCCGAGTCTCATAAAATCATCTTCATTAGGTCACTGTCCCGTATGTAGCGGGCGTCTCTGAGACGGTACAGCATCGTGTAGAGTCCTGGTGTCCTGGTATTTTCACTGCCACTTACTTTTTTTTTCAAATAAAGATTTTATTCTTAAGTCTCCTCTACACTCACCTCGGGACTTGAACGTAGAAGCCCGAGATCCGGAGTCACGTGCTCCGCCCATGGAGCCAGGCAGGCGCCCTTTTGTTGCGACATTTGAGCTCAAGTGGGAACTCTTTGCGGGCCTCGACCCATCCCCCCTCCCCTGCCGTAGTTCTGTTGGTGGCACTCGTTTGTTGTGGATTTTCTCAGCTGTTCTGAGTTTCATCCTAACCGCGTTGAACCTTTGTTTCCGTAGCTCTCGATGGCCGTGTGTCCGTGCTGTCCGTGAATCGAGTTCGTCCATCCTTTGGGAGAGCCGGCGGTGGAAGCCGTGAAATAAGCTTGACCGTGCCATGCATGTAACATACCAGGAACACTACGGTTGTGTAAAGTTGTCCTGTTCACTTTTGTACCAAATAGCAATAAAAACTATAGTTGGAAGAGTTGGGTTGTACACAAATGGAGACTGGAAATCTCTATTTTGCCCCTGAATCATATTTTTTTTAGAACCGACCAAATAAGAAGAGGAGTGTCTGGCCTACTTGAGCGCTGCTGGAAAGAAACCGTCTGGGTTGGGGGGTGGGGCGGGGAGAAAGTCTATGATGTTCGCACCTCAGGTAACTGTACATATTGTAAGTTCTAGACCTGCTTGTTGGGATACTGTGTGTGACTGTTTTCCTCTCACGTAGCTCATCACTTTGAGCGGTTCCTGCTACTTGTGCTCTTTTCGTTTAAAATGTGTTTTTAAAGAAAAAAAAATGTCTTCAATGATTTGTATTATGTTAAATCCTCCTCAGTCTCTCGTCTTCACAAAATTGTTAATGGAAGTATTGACCCTCTGTGACTGTGTGCTGCTCGTCCTGAGGTCGGCCATTCTGAAACCGGTGCCCTTTGATGGCGAATTTCATTCTGTCAGCCGAGGGGGAGTCCAGAGCCATGAGCCTTTCCTGAAAGAAGTGGTGTGGTTTGTGGGGGTTTGAAGTGTATGTGTTTACAGAGAAGCGTGTCCTCTGCAGAGCGGCCACATAGCCAGTAAACACACCAGATTTATATGTGGAGTTGCTTCCATTTATTTTCTATCTTATTAATCATTTCTTTTGGAAAATTCAGGTTGTTTGGCTTTCAGTTAAATTAGTATGTAAAAAAACAAGTGCTGAATGATACATGCGAATGACACATTGGAAGCCGTTTTAAAGGACATGAACATTTTGGGGCAAATTTTAGGTTTGTATCTGGATGTCTTGGTGTGCCTGGCGTTGGGGTGACCTGTGGACGTATTCGAGTCCATTACAGACACGTCGATTCTGAATAAGGAACTGCTGGCTGAGCCTTCTGGTAATGGGGAAGATGTGATCTTTGCCCGACCTCAGTTGTCTTCCCATTTTTGGTTGTTTTGAGCAGCAACGTTTTTCTCCATGATCTGCAGTTTGGGTTTTAAAGACAGGATAGCCACCCGCTGGCTTGCTAGGTGTTTTAAACTTTGGTTCCCTTAATCCTCTGTCCGTGGCTGAGTTTTTTCAGCAGTACATTGGTTTAGCAACCACAAAATAGTTTATTAAGAAAACTGTTTCAAAAATAAATTTGCACTGTTAAATTTTCTTGCCCTGCCCTTCCGCGTTAGAGCGAGAGTAAAGTCCTAAAAGAATCCTGATTTGTTTTGTTTTGTTTTGTTTTGTTTTGTTTTCATTATGCACCACGAAGCATACTTGACAGAGAAGTCTTAACTCCCGCGTTGAAAGGAGACCTGATTAGAGATCGGTCTGCTGGCATTGCAATGAAGTGCTTTGTATCAGGAAAGTGTACACTATTTACTTTTTTTCCTGTTCACAAGCTGAGCCATATGTACATAATCTAGATTTTTGTTTTCATAGTTTTGCACTTTTATAGCCTATTTTTGAAGATTAACACATTTTTCAAGATGATTGACTTGATCTTTGCCTAATCCGATGAGTGTTGCAGAGAGCTTGCTCTGAGTATAAATGTAAATCTTAAAAGGGGATGCGAGAGAGGGCTGAAATTTAAACCTGTACTTTAAAAAAAAAAAAAATCACCAAATCTATTTGAAAACAAGTCAATTCATGCCATGCTGAAATTTTGGGGGCTTTCATATTTCTCCTTTCTTAACCACATTTCTGAATTTCTGAATGCGTAAAATGTCCTTTTTTTCACAGCCCTTATACTCTAAAATTTTTTGTTTGTTTTTGTTTTGTTCTATCAGTATTAACTATTGGGATACTACTGGTTTTGTATTTTTTTTTTCCTTTGCAACAACAGTACATATAATAGAGGTACAATCCGTTGGATTTTTGTTTATGTATTTATTTCATTCCAGTTTGATTTATTTTAATTGTTGATACTTGTCAAACAGTAGACATTACTTGTTTTATTTATGATATATTTCAGCTTAAAGTTATGTTATTATATGTGGATGTAAATATAGATTTGGTGTTTTGCAGTCTTGCGTTTTGGTCTTTATTGTGTCCCTGGTTTCTGTTTTTAGTTAATTTTTTTATGAGTACAATCTTAAGCCTCTAGGGTAGTAGAGAGGTTAGTGTTGCAGATCCTCGATGCTTGCCAGCAATATTTTGCATCTCCTCCCTCTTTGCCCCCCCGGGGTGTTTGAAAGCAAATCTCAGATGTGATTTAGTTTTATCCCCAAAACACTTCAGTATGTGTCCCTAACGGATCAGGGCTTTCATGATCGCAGGCAGCTAAATGGACAATGATTCCTCGTAACCAACCTCCAGGACCACATTACGTTGTATTAAAAGTGGCTTCTCACAGTTAGTAAGTTGCAGTCAGGACCCAAACGAGATCCACTTAATTGGTTTAGAAGATGGTGTTTTTGTTTTTTTAAGATTTATTTACTTTAGAGAGAGAGAGTGCAGTGGCGGCAGGGGCAGAGGGAGAGAGAATTTCAAGAAGACTCCGCACTAAGCGCACAACCCGATGCGGGGCTCAATCCCATGACCCTGATCAGGACCTGAGCTGAAACCAAGAGTGAGACGCTTAGCTGACTTGGCCACCAAGGCAACCCTAGAAGATTAGTTTTTTTTAAGTCGATTGTACTCTACCTCCCGCTCCATGCACACAACATTTAATTTATTGAAGAGGCTGGGTCATTCGTCCTGTAGAAGTTTGCACATTCTTCTTGGGGCTTGTTGCATATTTGTGGTTTCATCTAACCTGTTTTCTCCAGTCTCTCTATGTCCTATGAATTGGTGAATTTAGTTCAGAGGTTTGAAGTAGATTTGAGCTGAGGTCTGGGGGAAGGGTCTCTGTGCTCCCAATTCTATTATCTCTGGACACGTACAACACTTGGTTTCCCAACCTGTACTCGTGTTTGATCAGTGGGTTGAGATGTCAGACTGTCTAGCCATAATGAAGTTCTCCATCAGACTCTCTCCTTTGAGTTTTAGCAGCCATTGATGAGCATTAGGAATTTTGCAAAAGGTGATTTTTTTAAAGTGCTGTCATTTCCTCTGCATTTATTACTGGACAGAAGACCTCACTCGTGATTATTTGTCCTGAAATACAGCTTGAATAAGAAAGGATAAATAAAACTTGATTCTTCCCCCTTGATTAACCAGCTTTGAAATGAATTCTGGTGCCCAGTATCCTGTCTGGTCCTAGACATGGCTGGTGAGTGAACTTGAGAGTTTTTTGTGAGGAACTCTATACATTTGATGAGTTTTAAGCAATTGTAGGCATCATTTTGATGCTTACAGTCTCCTGTCTTTGGCCATCAGGGGCTCCTTCAAGTTGGCTCAGTGTGTTTTGAACAATAGTCTGAAGGCTTCTTAGCTTTTTGCCATAATAAGATGTCCTGAGCTCATCTTGACCATTTCCTGACCAAGACTTGCAGAGTTAACTTCTCTGAGGATCCTGGGTTCCTTTTATAGGAAATGGTAATTACAAGTGGTGACTTGGGGATAAGGATGCCCATTACTCCTGGCTTGCTTCAACCCCCAGGGCTTCTTAACCTAGAGAACAAAGACATACATGTTTTTTGAGGGGGAAAAAAAAATACTTGAATGAATTATATTGGTGTGTTTTGTTTTTTAACATTCTATTTTTAAGTAATCTCTGTGCCCAACTTGGGTTCGAACTCACAGCACCAAGATGGAGAGTCACGTGCTCTACTGACTGAGCCAGCCAGGTGCCCCTATATTGCTGTTTCTAAGTCAAATTTAAAAAATACAGTCTTTATTTTTTTGATTTTATACTTAGTTCTCTGAAAATGTGGGTTCCTGATAACAACATAACCTGCTTTGTTCAACTGTGTGTAGCAATAAAGTCATGATGCCAATATTAGCAACATTCTAGGTGGAGATTTCAAACTTTTTAATAGTTCCACTTGTTTATAACTGGTTTTCAACTTGTGGTTCCGGACTAGCAAAATCATCATCATTGGGAAATTGCTAGAAATGCAAACCATCAGGTTCACCTTAAAGTTGCTGAGTTAGAAACCACACAGGGTGGGGGACGGGGTTGGGGAGATGCATCTAGAAGTCGCTACTGGAGACTCTACTGAGTAAATTCCACTCGAGGAACACAGCATGGGTTAGGGAGCCTGAAGTTACTTATCTGTAGATTTGCCAACAACTTCATGTACTGTTAGTTTCATTGTTTTCCATCTTTGGGTACTGCCTTGCCTTTTTTTTTTTTTTTTTTTGTCTTTTTAATATAATTTTGTTAAGTAAAACAGTTCTTAGTTAAAACTATAAAACCGGGTATGTTCAGAGAAGCGTAGCTTTCACCTTTCACACTATTTCCTCCTGTCCCTAGAGTAACCGTTTTAAAAAAATAGGTTTTCATTGATCTTTCCTTTGTTTCTCCCTTTGCAAAGATAGGTGTATAAGCAGGTGTATCTGTATGCCCTTTTATAAAAAGGAGCACGGAATACTAATGCAGGCCGACTTGAGTGGTTTTACTCATTGTTTTCTTAAGATAGCGCACTTTTCTCCTGAAAACCAAAGGATTCAAAGAACAAATTCAGAGAGGTGAAAGTTGGTGGCCTCGCTGCCCGTTTTTAGTCACTCGGCACATCTGTGTTGATGGAGAGTGGGATGCTGGGTGCCGGGGCCCTGTGCCCCCTGAGCCAAAGTTGAGCATGGAGCCCACCTTTTCCGCGAGGGTGCAGAAGGTCGCTGAAAACTGGTACACAGCCCCAGTATGACAAGGCATGCTAGTGGAAGGAAAGCAGGAGACAGAGGAGAGCTCAGTGGCCAGGATTCAGGATGAAGGCCGCGGCCTTTCCTAATGCGGGTGAGGATGCGAGTCACGTGGCGCGATTCACGCAGAGAAGCGGCTGGAGTCTTCAGTGGGTCAAGTGCCCGCAGGAACGAAGGCCCGGCTCCGGGTCAGGAAGAGCTCGTTGTGGTTAAGGACTTGCGTGGAGACCAGCACCGCTACAGAGCTGAGCTCTGCACCTCGTGGGTGTCGACGTTTGGGGACCAGATCAGTCTTTGTGGCGGGACGCTTCCGTGCAGCCCCGCGCGCTCAGCTTCTCTGGCCTCCGCCCACTGGATGCGGGGAGCACCCGCCCCCCCACACCGGGGAATAACCACGGACGTCTTCGGGCGATCCCAAATGCCCGTAGGGCGCAAAATGTTCCCAGGAGAGAGCCACGGCTCCTGGAACAAATCTGGGAGTTCGGGCAAGAGTCCCACGTATTACAACTCAAGGATTCGGGGCCCCTGTCTTAAGCGCAGGGGGAGCCTTTGAAGCTGTTCGGGCAGACGGTGGTATCACATTTACGCTGTAGGATAACGATGGGTCATATAGGCCGGAGAGGCCCGAGAGTTTTCAACGCGTGAGTTTGTAAAAAGTCGTATCAAAGAAGGAAAAAAAAAGTCACTTTTTAAAATTGCCCTTTACCCTTAGCCAGTGAGAGTCCATCGTCACTTTCGCGCACACATCAAAGGCCTGAACCTCAGAATCACGTAACTGAGCTCCCCCCACCCCCGCGCCCCCCCGCCCCGATTCTGCCGGGTGGGTCTGGAGGAGGGCCCAGAGCCTGCGTGCCCAACGGGCACTCTTAGAAACTCTTATTTACTCCAGTGTAAGAAATTACCTTAAACTTCCCTAGATTTGCGATTTGGAATTCTAAGTGACCTCAAATAGCTTCAAACTGGCAACTGTAATCTCATTCCAGTGATAATGAAAATGTCCTTGAGCTAAGTGCCCCACAGGCATCCTCTCCGTTTGTCAACCGACTAATTGCCACCCTCAGCCCCCCGGGGATTTTCCCTTTAATCCCCCAGCAACCCGGGGTAGGAATTTGAGGAACAGACGATCCTTTCCTTCCACACCTCTGACACGTCAGAGCTCTGGGGCTCAGAGATGGGGTGCGCCTTTGTCCCACCTCAGGATTGCCCCCAGCCCTGCCCCTGAGCCCAGCTGTGTCACACGCTGCCACCAACACCCGTGCCTAGCATAAACCCCCAAATCCTCTCCCTGGCTTGCTTTCAAGGCCTGACCTCTGGCCTCACATATCCTTGTTCCCTAGTTTTTTGTGGTAGCCACGGAGGCCTTGCTTCTCCTTCTAGAAACTTCTGGGCATCTTTCTTTTTCTGCAGTGGCACCCTTGCTGTTTCAAGGCTTGGTAACACTTTATCCCAGGTTAGGGGGCCCCCCCCCCGACTTCACCGTGAGTGCTTGCAGGTCACTTGCCCCGAAGCCTTTCCAGTCTCCCCACATCTGTAGCTGGCATTACTTTTCCTCAAGCTCAGATTCCCCTGCCATTATGGTTTGCTGGTCTGTTCGTCTGCCGGACTTCTTTGCTGGGTCTTGCCCACTTGAAGGTGGGCTCCCCAGGGGAAGAAATTTATTTTATCGATGTTTCCCGTGGGAATAGCCCTCTGTTGGTAGGATGGATGGATGGATGGATGGATGGATACCCATGGTTTATTCCAGCCAGCAATTATTGAATGACAGAGAGATGGTCTCTTAGAATGTTCTCAATAACCTCTTGCCTATGAGATTATCTACGGAGTCACTGCACGTAAGCGTTTCCATCTACCTGTGGCAATAAAGGTACCACACACTCAAGTCTTGTTCGTTTATTATCCCTTACTTATTCTTATACCAACGAATACAGTTGTACAGGCGGATGTGTGCGTGGGTGGGTATCTTAGAAGAAGAAAAGGTAATTAGGATCCAGAGAGTTTGGGTCTGGAGTCTTTGAATGGTTTCCTGGGCGTGTGTGAAGGTGGGTAGAGTGGGTAATCGGATTACAGGAGGCTGGAAGCCTGGAGACCAGTGTTACTCACCTTTGAGTCACTGACACTTGGAGAAACACTGCCTGTGCTCCACCCTTTGCCAGAGGAAAGGTTAACGTAAAGTGGTTGTTCTTAAAACTCATGGCCTCAGAACTGTTTCACCCTCTTAGAAATTATTCAGGGTCCTCAAAAGTGTTTGCTTGTGTGGGTCATGCTTATCAGTATTTATCAG